AGCGTCTTGGAGGCGATCCTGAATCGTCTCGGGCCCTCTCTAGGGGCCTTCTGAGGCCGCCCGCGTCGCTTCAAGCCGCGTGCCGCAGGACTTCCGCCAGGTTCCGCCGGCGTTCCGCCCGTGGCCCAGGCTAGATTTCGATGGGGCTCCCCCAGACCCCCCAGGAGAATGCACAACGGGAGCCCCTCCGCAATGTCGGGGGGAAACTGCATCGGCTTGCTCAGGACATTGCAAGTCCAGGTCGTCGTCCCTCTCTCCCCTCCCCCTCCTCCTCCTCGTCCTCCTCCTCCTCCTCCTCCTCCTCTTCTCCCTCCTCCTCCTCCTCCTCCTCTTCTCCCTCCTCCTCCTCCTCCTCTTCCTCCTCCTCTTCCTCCTCCTCCTCCTCCTCCTCCTCATCGTCCTCCCTCCCTGTCCCCCCCTGTCCTTCCCAAGACCCCCCCCCAGGCATCAGACCTCACCTATACCGCGGGGAGGGGGGGGGCGTCTGCAGCGGGTTCACTTCCAGTCCCTGGTGAGGCTTGCTTGAGGAGTTCGTTGCCAGCGCACGCGTTCCGAACTCGACACCACGCCCACCACGACGGCCAGCCCGCAGGGTTCCGTCGGCCGTTGCCGCCCGACGTAGCTCGGAGAATCCTAAGCTTCGTCTCCGACGTCATCGACTACAACGAGGAACCGTCACGACTGACCAACACCCCCAACCTCGCACACGACCTCGCACTTGAAGCTGACCCCCCCCAGAACTCAGAAAGCACTGCGCCCTTTACCTCTTTCGGCGTACACAACGAATAACTCACGCCGAAAGACTTCTTTGCGCTCGTTACTCTGGAAAGCAGCGCAAACTGGAGCTTCATGGCAGAGGCCCAGAAACGCCCACGACCTGCCCTATTGCATAAAGGAGCTTTGGTTGATGATGATGCGCACCTCGGCTTGCAGGCCACCAGGGCTGACGTGGACGACATTGGAGACTCCGCCGGCGCCAACCCAGAATGTGACGACGGCACCGAGCGCGACACCCCAACCGCTGTCCAATATAAACCACACGTGCGTGTACGTGATTCTGACGTGCTGGACGTCGTACACCGACATCACTCCGCTGGTAAATTGGACAAGCGGTCGGCTGACACATTTCTCCGCATCCACGAGTTCCTCAACGCGAAGGCCCACCTCTACGAGCACCTCCGCGAGCCTCGGACTACAACTCTTACGCTTCGGGTTGGGTCGCATCTTACAGCTGCCGCAGAGAACCTCGCCATGCAAAGGTCAGTCGACCACTCTGCAAGATTCCTCCCCGCTCCTCCTCGAACTCTCCCCCTCCTTCCGAATCCCCACCCTCTCCACACTCGTACTCCCCCACGTTCCTGCTTCCCTAATACCCACGACGATCCCCCTCCCCCACAGGCAGCTGCGCATACGAGAGGAGCGCTCTGCCCAAGAAGAACGGGAGGTACACGCCGCACCACCTCAGCTTGGCCATGCCGGGATCCACGACAACGACGACGAAAACGACGCTCCTTTGGAAGCAGCCTTCCTACCAGACACGCTCTGGGGCCTTTCCCCCGCCATGTACGCGCGAAAGCTGATGGCTGAGCGACTTCCACACCGCGTGGGCAATGCCGACACATATCGCATACCTCAAGACCAGTACGACGCCACGCTCTTCTGCATATCACCGCTCCAACATCTGTGGGACTTTGCGGCAGCCCGCGGCAGGCTCGCCGAATTCCGAACACGCGCTAGAAGACGGCAGCTCCTCATGGACGCTCCTGCCAAGTTCGTGCAGCGCCTTTTCCTGCACGGCCCTGGAGGATCGGGCAAAACGTATTTCATGACTCGAGTCGTTCTACCTGTGTATGATCACTTCTTCCCCGGCTGTACTCGCGGGTTCGCTGCACAGAACAGTGCTGCGAGGCCCATTGGTGGCGCCACTTTCCATTTCATGGCAGGCCTTACGCGCCAACAAACTCTCACCGTAATCTTGGCCGTCTTGGGGCCTATGGGGCAGTCTTGGGATCCTCGTGGGGCCGTCTTCGGAGTTCATTGGGCCGTCATGGATACATTTTGGAGGCCTCTGCGGCGATGTTGGGGGCCTCTGGAGCTGTCGGAAGGCCGAAAAGAATAAGGCGACAAAATCACATAGCAAATTCGTGATTAAGGCCTTTTCGGGCCTGTTTTGAAGGGTGCCCTGGGCCATCTTGGGTGGATCTTGAGCCGTCTGGGGCATATCTGGCGCACTCTGGCCCCTGCGTGGCAACGTGGCCGATGTTTTCCGCGCCCCGGCCCCCGCCCAGAAAACTGAGCGCAGAGGCTTCCCCGCCCCCTTCCGGCCCCCCTTTCGCCAGCAGGGCCCCCCCGCCCCCTGGGAATCGGGGTGCAAGCTGTGGCTCGGGCTCTGCGAGACTCGCGTGCCGGCGGCGGACTTCGCGGATCATTGCAGCGATGGTGGGCGACGGCGTCAAGAATTCATCCATCTATTAGATCCACGTGATCCCTAAGGGTCGGAGATCAAAGCATGGGAGATGTTTACTCGTCAGTGTATGTCGATTCTTTGGCCAAAGACATATCAGCTCCGATTCCACGACTTCATATCAGCAACAGGCGTCAACAAAAGCACACATACGCACCATCAAATTTACCCGCATACATCGCCAACATGTGCAGCGTAGGTTTGCAGCAACGCACATTAATTTGCACGTGTCTAGGACGCGCGCCGCTAACAATAATCCGCCGTGCGTGTCAGGCTTATATCACAGCACTAGCCATCACTAACATATGCCACCTTCGGCGGCAGAGTACCCTGAACATCTTGACGGGGAACCCAGCGGGCGACCAAGCGGGCGACCAGGCGGCAGACCGTGCGGGAGTCCGAACGGGAAACCATACGGGAGACGATGCAGGAAACCGCACGGGAGACCATGCGGGAGACCGCGCGGGGGACCATGCGGGAGATCGCAAGAGATAGATTACGGCAGGCCATGCGGGAAACCGCGTGGGAGTCTATCTGGGAGACCATTCCACCGGCCACGGGCCACCGATTCCTGTCCCAGAGGTTCTCGTGCCTTGTTTTGGACAATCTGCGTGGGATCCTTACAGACAGCGCATTCAGGGATCATCCGCCATATTTATGAACCACATACACCAAGAACAGGCAGCTACAACACACAGCAGGAAGTGGCACCAATACCAGGCATCGTAGCCATGCACCAGTTAAGCACGTCAAGAGCACGCTCCAATCACCACCGCCAGCAACAACTATGCGCGACCTCAGTTAGAATCCACCCGTTACCGGTAACATGCACCAATCGCATGCGTAGGCGTCGTCGTGCACAACGGGCAACGTACCTATCATACGAGCATGTTCAACGCACAACAAGTGACAACAGCACATCATAGCAATCACGTGCACCAGCCACATGCGTCGATCATATCACACAGCAGTATTGCAGGCCGCTGCCACACATCAGTATCATGCACCAATAACGCACGCACCGCACCACATCAGTGGTACAAGCGTACCTGGTAGAACAGATACCATTCGTGTTCGCCAGCAACGTGCGCCACCACCGCTCATCACACATGTACGCCGCCAGCGGTCACCAACAACACATCAATCACACACATGGGCACAACACATCGCTAACCTGCTGTTCACAACGTTACGCGGCGAACGGACATCAATGTCATACACCAGCGCGCGCGCGCGCCCACGACACATGCCGATAACACACGCCAGCTGGATTCACAATCGCAACGCCATGCTCATGTTGGGAACCAGTTGCAGCACGAAAACGAACTGGCACGACACGTCAGCACCGAATATCAGGGATAATGCGAGCGCTCACCGCGGACAGATTCAAAGACCTTCTTGTAACATACATGAGAGTCCCAGGCGTACTGTGAATGCAAATTTTGCGCATGAGCCACCACGCGTACATATGCGCATGCAAAGCTTGCGCGGCGACCATGCGCAAGCAATTGTGCAACAGATCGCCATATCCGCGCACGGGACAGACTTCGACACCATTCGCGGTTTGCCCTTCGGTATTGAAGCCGATCGCAGCAGCCCCCGCGAAGTAGTGGTGGTACAATATTACGTTGCATCTTCGGCGGACCTCGTGTGTTTCTTTGTGCCCGAGTCGACGCGGATTCGACACAGATTCGACACGGATCCGACGAGTCCCACATGGACTCGACACCGATTCGACGCGGATAGGGCCGAGAGGGGACAGACAAGGTCCCCCGAGGATGCAACATAATGTAAGTGTGTAGTTGTGTTCTCCTCTCCCTTTCATTGGGCAGGACCAGCAAGACTGCAGTCGGCCTTCTCCTCGTGGCAGCGCCCGCTGTCCGAGCCGCCTCGCGGGTCTGAGCACGCGCCAGTGTAGCTGTCATGCCAGGCGTCTGGATCATACACGTAATCTCCATGCCCCTAAATTGATTTTCCGCGGCGGAGGTTTATCCATAACCACCGCCTGGGGGTTCGATCTTCGCGGACCTCCACAGGCGGTGGATATGGATAGATTCGGTCCCCCGGGGGCCAAAATATTTTCATATCCACCGCCCGCTAGGGCACCAGGACGTCGGTTCACAGGCGGTGGATGTGGACAAATCCCCGCCTCGCAGAGTTGCAGCCTCAGGAGGAGCGCGGGGGGAGGTGGTGTCAGCACAGGCCACAACAAGGACACTGTTTTTTTCGCCAGGCGAACCCCATGGGGCCATACGCTTTCCAGTGGGCGCTCGCCGCAGTGAGAAGGAGCACCCACGCTGGCTTACGAGAACGGGGGTGCGGGGCGAAAGGGCGTGCCGCAGCACAGAGGATGTATGCTTGGATTGCTCGGGGTCCTTCTTCTTCTCCTCGTCATCCTCCCTGTCGTCGTCGTCGTCGTCGTCGTCGTCGTCGTCGTCCTGTCCCCGCTCCAAAACTAGCATGTCGTCCACAAGCCCCTTAAGGCCTCGAGAAGCCAAGAGCCTTCCAATCTTTTTACACCTCCTGCCGCCTCCAGCTTGTCTCTCCTCGCCCCTTCCCCCTGCCCCTCCCCTCCACCTTTCCTAGCCTTTCCTGGTCAAGCCACCTTTCGTAACCCACACTCCGTCCCCCGCGCGCACGCGTGTGATATCGCATCTTGCCAGGAACAGCCCCGCATGTCCCTGCGCCTGGCTGCCGCCCTGGCCGCCACCTGCCTGGCCACGGCGCACGCCCTCGAGGCCACGCTCGAGCCGGTGGCGGACGAGGTGCGCTGGGCACCGCGCGGCGTCGGCGACCTGAACGCGGTCTCGCCCGCGGGCCTGCGGGGCAACTCGCGCGCGCCGCGCATCTCGCTGAACAGGGGCGAGGGGGCCTACAGCGCCGAGGCCTCCTTCGACGCCGACGCCGCCGCCGCCTGGGCCGAGGCGCACCGGCCCGCGGCGGAGATGCGGCACATGCCTCGGGCCCAGGGCTACGTGGCAAACGTCCTGGGCGCCGGCTCGGAGGCCGCCGAGAGGGACAAGCGGTTCTCGGCTTCGGAGCTCGAGGACCTCAAGAGCAAGGCGCTTAAGTCGGGCATGTCCATCTACACGAGGAATTTGCAAAACTAGTGAAACATGGTATGGGGACGATTCTTCGATGTTTTTCCCCAAACAGCTTGCTGAACGGGGTGATGTTTTGATAGAAGCCAACTCTGGTCGAGGAAAATCAAAGCAGAGACGTCCTCAAACAAAAATTGGTGGTCCGGGCCGTTTCGCCTGGGACATCCTCGCAACTCTCGTTTCTGAGTTGTCCGGGATTGGGCGTTTCGCGTGAGACATCCTCCAAACTCTGAGTTCCCAGACGCCGCGCAAGAGGTGCTCCGGCCCGTTTCGCCTGAGACATCCTCCAAACTCTGAGTTCCCAGACGCCGCGCAAGAGGTGCACCGGCCCGTTTCGCCTGAGACATCCTCCAAATTCTGAGCTCCCAGATGCCGCGCGAGAGGTGGTCCAGCCCGTATCGCTTCAGACATCCTCCACATTCTGAGCTCTGAGATGCCGTGCGCGAGGTGGTCCTGCGCGTTCCGCCTGAGACAGCCTCGCAAATCTGAGTTTTGAAATGCCGTGCAAGAGGTGGTCTAGCCCATTTCGCTTGAGACATCCTCGAAACTCTGGGCTCCGAGATGCCGCGCGAGAGGTGGTCCCGCCCGTTTCGCCTGAGACATCCTCCAAACTCTGAGCCCTGATATGCCGTGCGCGAGGTGGACCGGCCCGTTTTGCCTGAGACATCCTCGCAACTCTGCGCTCTCTGATGCCGCGCGAGAGGTAGTCTGGCCCGTTTCGCTTGAGACATCCTCCAAATTCTGATCCCCGAGATGCCGCCCAAGAGGTGGTCCGGCCCGTTTTGCTTGAGACATCCGCGCGCTTTTGCATTCCGAGATGCCGCGCGAGAGGTGGTCTGGCCCTTTTCGTCTGAGACGTCCTCGAAACTCTGAGCTCTGAGATGCCGCGCGCGAGGTGGTCTGGCCCGTTTTGCTTGAGACATCCTCGAAACTCTGAGCTCTGAGCTGCCGCGCAAGAGGTGTTCCAGCTTATTTCGCTTGAGACATCCTCACAACTCTGACCTCGGAGATGCCGCGCGCGAGAGGTGGTTCAGCCCGTTTCGCCTGAGACATCCTCGCAACTCTGAGCCCTGATATGCCCTGCGCGAGGTGGTCCGGCCCGTCTCGCCTGAGACATCCTCGCAACTCTGAGCTCTGAGATGCCGTGCGCAAGGTGGTCCGGCCCGTTTCGCACAAGACATTCTCGCAATGCTGAGCTCCCAGATGCCGCGCAAGAGGTGGTTCAGCCTGGGGGCCCAGACCAGAAGACCACATATTACATATCCCCCCTGCGACCCTGGGAGCCCCAGGAGGCCCCAGAGAGCTTCAGGAGGCCGCAGGACGCCCAGGACAGGCCCCAGGGGTCCCCAGGAGATTCCCAGGAGGCTCCCAGGAGGCCCCAGGAGGCCCCCTATCAGAACGTGTCAATCTAATAAACATCCGGTGTCGATTCGTTGATTTTCCTGCTCTTGTGGCCCCCCATTTCGGGGGGGCCCAGACGGCCGCATGCATGTTAGATATCCCCCCCTGGGAGCCCCAAGAGGCTTCAGGAAACCCCAGGTGGGGTCCAGGAGGCCACAGGAGGCCCAGGAGGAACCCCCAGGAGGTCCCCAGGAGGTTCCAGGAGGCCCCCGCAACTCGGAGCTCTGCGACGCCGCGCTCGAGGTGGTCGGGCCCGTTTCGCCTGAGACTTCCTCGCAGCACGTTTCGCCCGAGACATCATCGCAACTCTGTGGTCCGAGATGCCGCGCGCGAGGTGGTCTGGCCCGTTTCGCTGGAGACATCCACGCAACTCTGGGTTCCGAGATGCCGTTCGGGATGAAGAGGAGGTAGAGGAGGAGGAGGAGGAGGAGAAGGAGGAGGAGATGGAATGGAGAAGGAGGAGGAGGATTATGTGGATGAGGGGGCAGGCAGGAGAGGGGGAGGAGGAGGAGGAGGAGGAGGGAGAAGGAGAGGAGGAGGAGGAGGAGGAGGAGGAGGAGGAGGAAGGAGGAGAGGAGGAGGAGGAGGAGGAGGAGGAGGAGGAGGAGGGGGGAGAACGAAGGGAGTTGCAGGAGAGGACCTAACGGGAAGCGAGTGTGACGTGGACTTGTCAGAACGTGTGCGAGAGGTTGTTGGGCCCGTTTCGTTTGAGACATCCTTCCAATACTGAGCTCCAAGATGTCGCTCGCAAAGTGGTCCAGCCCGTTTCGCCTGAGCCATCCTCACAAAGCGAAGCTCGAAGATGTTGCGCGCGAGATGGTCTGGCCCGTTCTGCCTGAGACGTTTCGTAGCACAGGGGCTGCAATCACGGCCTCTCTCATTCCTGCTCCCGCCTCCCTCTTCCCGCTTCCCGCCTGGCTCCTCTTCCCTCCTCCCGCCTCCCGCCTCCCGCTGCTGCACCTCTGCCTCCGCCTCCCCGTCCCCGCCGTCGTCGTTTCTGCCGCCTCAGCATCCGTCATGCGCGCCCTGCCTTCCGCCCTCCCCAGACATCCGACGTCACGATTTTTCTTTTGAGACGTGCGCCCGCGGATCTCATGTGCAAGCATCATGTTATCATGTTATCATGTTATCACTGGACGGGCACGCAATCGACCTTGGAAACCGCAGTGGGTTTCAAAACCCTGTTTGGGGATACTGCACTCCGGCTAGAAGTTTCCTTTTTTTGAGTACTGGTTAATGATGTTTACTTTTCTTCCACAATCCGCCTGTAGGAGGACATGCCCGACCTAAAGCAAGGCGCAGAGTGGGAACCAGGTCTTCCAGGGGACGGTCGCTATGCCCTCGAATCGCTGGCGCGACTGATTCGGGCCGCGTTGCCTAGCCTGGTTCCGCTGCCTCCTCCCTCCCTCCCTCATTCTGCTCCACATCCCGCTCCCCCTCCTCCCCTCCTTCCCCATTATGCTCCTCCGCCTCCTCCTTCCTCCTCCTCCTCCTCCTCCTCCTCCTCCTCCTCCTCCTCCTCCTCCTCCCCCTCCTTCTCCTCCTCTTCCCGAAGCCGTGGAGCCCCCCTCTGAGGGCACAACTGTTCACGCGGGAAGTCCCTACGCAAGAGGAACGACAACAGCTGGAACTTTCCCAGCCACACCTGGGAGGTAGCCCTGGCACATCCTTCGGACGGCCCGCCTACCCCACTCCCCAGGCTTGCAACACGGGGCGAGGAATCCCTTGAGTTGCTTCGAACTGTGAGCACCACAGAGCGTACACGCAACAACGGGATGGGCCGCATCCTGAAGGGACTCCTCCACCCTAAAACAACTAAACGATGTACCTTCAAACCCTGCTCGTGCAAGCGCTCATTGGCATCACGCGCACGCGTCGAGATTGACCAAGGGCAGACCTCGGACACGGGGGCCACAGCACGGCAGCGAGCACACCAGGGTCGCCTGGAAGGCCCTCTTAAATCATGAGGCAGCTGAGCAGGGACGACAACAAGGAGAGGGGGCGCGCTCACACGCGTGCGGCGCGCAACGTGCGTAGTGTCACGCCCGTCCACATGCGCGCCCACCTCCCCAATCCTGTGCCCAACCTGCTCCACAAACTGCTCAGCCTGCTGCATGCGCTTCCTATCCTCAGCAGGCGCGCGCGCAAGCTGGCCTCCAAACTTCGCCCATACGTCGGCGTGGAAGTTGCCGAAACGGTCCCGACGCGTGATGCGGCCCGCATCCACGTCAGACATCGTGCAGTGACTCTTGACTTTACGCATCGAAAGGCCGGCCTCGCAAAGGCCGCCAAACTCAGCCAGGGCCTTCCAGAAGACCCGCCAGAGACAAGCCCAGGCCGAGGAATGGGCCGTGGTGGCCTCTTCCCCTCTCTCAGTCACTCCACGAAACACAAAATCTGAATCAGTGACAGCAGTGATCGGAGGCAACGAATTCTGAATCAAAAAGATCAAGGCCTCCAATTCGGCCCCGTCAATGTCGAACACAGACTGCGAACACTTGCAGTAAACAATGTCAACTACACCGAGGGGGGCCTCATCACGCAGAGTAACGACGGCCCAGCCTGTACAACTCAAACTACTCCACTGGCCTTCAAAGGCCGAACCGTCCAGGTAGGCTTCCTTGGCAATAAGGACCCCAGGCCCCGCATGCTGATGCCAGACCACCGTGTCCTGGGCAGGGGCCCTCCACGAGGTCCGCGGGATGGGCCAAAGCGCCCTCTCCAGGAGCACACGGACCTGGGACCGATCCTGAGCCTGAACCAGCGGAGTAAACGCATCAGGGCACGGCAGCTCCTGACACAAATCACATTCGAAATGTCTGTGGACAAGAGTGCCAGGTTTGCGACAAATGAGGCACTCATTGCTCAAGGCTTTCCTAGCTTCAAACTTCCTGACCATGGGCCACTGCCCGCCAACAATGCACGAACGAAGGTACGCACGCGCCTCGGGCCCCAGGGTCGGAAGGTCCCGATTTTGAACACAGCGAGGCCGTCCGCTAGAGACAGCCTGGAACAGGGGCAACCAAACCGCACCAAACTCCAGATGTTTCAAATCATCGTGCTTCGCCACCTGTCGCCACTGCCAGGCCGTGGCGGCCTGCACTAAATAGTGGCGGATTACTCGAGGACAGCGCACACTGATGTCAAGGTCTAAGCCCTCATGCGTGGTCCACTCGAAGGCGGAGCGAATCGACCAGCCGACACGAGCCAGCGACAGCCGACACGCACTAAACGGACCAGACACTTGGGTCCAGAGCGAGACCGACGAACTTCCTTCCAGCCCATCCCGCACCACATGCCTCGGCACCCACCCCTCCCATATAGCTCGGCTCCTCCTTCTCCTCCTCCTCCTCCTTCTCCTCCTCCTCCTCCTCCTCCTCCTCCTCTCCCTGCTCCTCCTCTTTTCCCCCCCTCCCTCTCTCCCTCCTCTCCCTCCTCCTCCTCCTCCTCCTCCTCCTCCTCCTCCTCCTCCTTCCCCCCCCCCCGCCCCCGCTGCCTCGAGAGCAGGCCGCGCCCCGGGCCGACTGAACTGAGCCAGGACGGTCCAGGGCGGCACCGGGGCAGCCAGAGGGCCTCCAGAGGGCCCCAGGACTCGCCGAGACGGCTCACGAGAGGCCAAGAGGCCTCGCAAGAGAACCCCAACCGGCCCCCGAGGGGTCCCCGATGTGGTCCAGGAGAGCTTCAGGAGAGCCCGCTATCGGGATCGTGTCAAAAGGCTCCGAGACGGCGAAACAGGTTCACAGGGTTGAACGGAGCCCGAGAGACTCCAGGAGAGAATCGCAAAGAGGTCCCAAGTGGCGGCAAGCAGCAGCGGCCAGCAATCCGTAGAAGCAAGCAGCATCAAGCAGCAGCATGTAGCCGCGCACGACAGCAATCGGCATCAAAAGCAACACGTGGATCAAGCAGCAGCATTTTCCGTTGTACCCGGCTTCGTGATTATTGCTTTGTTTCAGTCGGCCTTTCGAGCTCCAAGAGGCGTCCAATACGGCCCGTGACCGTGAAGGTTCCAGAGGGTTCGCAGGACGGCCGAGTATGCTCAAAGGGACTCCCACGGGCTCTAAGAGAGGTTCCAAGAGACGCTAAGAGAAGCTCGAGACAACTTCCTGCTCGTCAGTATGGATTGGCTTTGCAATGGTTTCAGGAGGACGTTTGCATGCGTAGCCGCTGGCCTGCGCGGTGACTGTGGGTTTCAGATGTTGTGGCCGTCCAAGTCTTGGGTCGTCTACGCAGCCCTTGCTCTTCCCCTTGCCCTTCCTCCCCCCTGTGTTTGACGTTAGCCCGATGCCGCGTGCGGTTACTGTCCCTGTTGGTGTTGTGTTCAAGCAGTGCTTTTGGTCACCGAGGGCGTTCCACTACTCGCAAAGTGCCTACTCGCAAACGTCTGAAAAAACATATGTTCGCTTCGATGATATTTATCGTAAATCCCCCTGGGCGGATCCATGCCATTTGCGAGTAGTTACTTTGCGAGTCGCGGAACGCGCTCGTCTATCTGGGCTGCTTCTTCGGCCTGGGCGGTACAGCGCTGCACGGTGCAGAGTCGGCCTCCACCTCTCCCGAGTGGAGTTGCGGACCAGCTTCGCAATCCATGTATATATATATATATATGATACCAGCGAACAAACCCAATCATAATCTTTTTAGGGCTGCAGGGCTATAGCGCTACAGGGCTATTTGGGCTCTTGGGCGCTATATGGGCTATATGGCTATGTGGCTATATGGGTTACAGGGCTATAGGGCTATAGGGCGATAGGGATATAGGGATATAGGGCCATAAGGCTACAGGGCTACAGGGCACCGGGCACCCAGGCACCTGGCACCCGGCACCCGGGCACCCACCCAGGCACCGGGCACCCGTCACCCGGGCACCCGGGCACCCGGGCATACGGGCACCCGGGCCCGGCCACCGAATCGGCGGCGAACCCGGGCACCCGGGCACCAGGGCCCCCGGGCCCCCGGGCCCCCGGGCCCCCGGGCCCGGCCACCGAATCGGCGGCGAACCTGGGCACCCGGGCACCCAGGCACCCGGGCACCCAGGCCCGGCCACCGAATCGGCGGCGCACCTCATCTACCTGTAAATCCGCTGGGACCCTTACAGAGGCAAGCTCTGATTGGGGAATCTATATATGATGCCGGAGAAAAGCCCCAATAAGATGTTTTAATCTTCCAACTGCTCCCTTATAGGGCTATAGGGCTATCGGGCTATAGGGCTATAGGGCTATCGGGCTATAGGGCTATCGGGCTATCGGGCTATAGGGCTATAGGGCTATAGGACTGTGACCTATAGGGCCATAGGGCTATAGGGCTATAGAGCTATAGGGCTATAGGGATATAAGGCTATTAGGGCTATAGGGATATAAGGCTACAGGGCTACAGGGCTATAGGGCTAATCGGCTATAGGGCTATAGGGCTACTGGGCTATTGGGCACCCCTGGGCACCCGGGCACCCCCAGGCACCCGGGCACCGGGGCACCCGGGCCCGGCCACCGAAATCGGCCACGCACCTCACCGGGCACCCGGGCACCCGCGGGCACCGCCGGGCACCCGGGCACCCGGGCACCCGGGCCCGGCCACCGAAATCGGCTGCACCTCTCTCCTAATCCTTTAATCCGCTAGGACCCCTACAGAGGCAAGTTCTGATTGGGCAATACATATATATATATATATATATACATCGATGTTTGTGTGTGTGTGTGTGTGTGTGTGTGTGTGTGTGTGTGTGTGTGTGTGTGTGTGTGTGTGCGTGTGTGCGTGTTTTGGCTCGTGTTGCGAATGGCACGCGCGCGAGCTAGCAGGCCCAGCATCGAAACAGATACGTGCTGCTGCGATCAACCTATGAATGAGCATTTCCCCGGGAGACTTTGAACGGTCTCCAAGGCGGCCCACTAAGGCCCACATAGCTGTCTGAAGTTGCCCAGGCGGCGCCCCAAACCCACGAGGCAGTCGAAGATATGCCGCAGAAGCGTCCGAGATGGCCCTAACGAGTCCCAAGACAGTCCAAGACGGCGCAAAGACGGCCCCCCGAAAGGGTCCAGAGGCACACCTACATTGCCTAAGATACTCCCGAAACGGCTCACAAGGTTTTGAGACTGCCCAGCTGGCCCCGCGGAGACTGGAATAAGCGCGCGAGAGGCTCCAAATGACGCCCGAGCGGCAGCGATTAGCCGTCCACAGCGGCAAGCAACATCAACCAGCAACACACATCACAGCACGCAGCAGCAGGCAATGCCATGCAGCAGCAAGTAGCCAACACCAGCAGCAGGCAGCAGGCAGCGCTTTCTAGGGTGCCCCGCATATATTTCTACACTTGGCCTCTGGGCGTCCAAGACGGCTCCAAGAGGGCTCCCAGAGGTTCCCAGGAGGGCCCTCCTCAGGTCTCAGAAAGACTCGACGATATTATTCCAGGAGGCCCCAGGCGGCCCGCGGGAGGCTTCAAGAGAGGCTTCGAGACTCTCGGAGATAGGCCCTGGACAGCCCAAGTCGTCACGCATTTACATAGTTCCCAGCTTTCTCGCTCGCACGCCTTCTCGAACCAGCACTGCTTCAAGAGGGCGTCAGGGTGTTCCAAGAAGAACCAAGAGGCCCTCAAGGCGGCTCAAGAGGGCCCCCAAAGGAGCCCACGACGGCGCAAAGGGGTCCCCAACCTGTGCAACACGGGTCCCAAACATTCTTGGATAGCCTCCGAAGGGCTCCAAGACGCCCCGAGACGGCTCAACAAGTTGCGAACGCTGCCAATCGTCTACTTCGTCTACGCTGGCCAGGCGTTCCTCCGCTGCCAGCGGCGTGGCTGAAATGCTGTCGTAATGCAGTGTGCTCGCGGTCAACGTGGTGGCCTGATCAACAACACGAGTGTCGGGCTTTGTCGTTTCCTCCCTCCACCTCTGATTTCCTCTGCTCGTCCGCCTCCTCCGCGCATTGCGCTGACCTTATATCGTCACGCAATGTTAAGCTAGATCATTTCCACGCAGTTTCCGATGCGACTTTCAAATTACGCTCAGCATGCACTTGCACGGAGCTTCTCTGTGGTCACTTTTCATGTTCACGGGTCCTGGTTGTTGAGAAAAGGATGGGACAGAGAGCCAATGGGGAGTGGGAGAGAGGGCAGTGTGCTGATGGGAATCTGGAAGATGTTGATGTTCTTAGGGAGTGGGGGCGTGTTAGAAGCATCGTGGGCCGGCTCGGGGCGGTGCAGAAGCGTCCCAGACCCTCTCGGAGGCGGGGGATCACGAGGACAAGGAGGAGGATGACGACGACGACGACGAGGAGGAGGAGGACCAGTGGGAACCCAAGACGCATCAACGATGTTGCAATACACCCTCACTCCAAGTTACCTCTTCATAGTTCCCTACAAGAATGTGTTTTTCATTCAGTGAAGTGCGCCATTGGAAGACACCTGTCTGAAGACTGGATCGTGCCAGGGTACAACTCCTTGGATTTGAACGCCACGAAAGAATATGACTGTGGCGTCCTGACGCTCCCACATCGTGCCAGAACCCGATTCCTGGGACGTCACCACCGCAAAACAACATGACAACTGATTCCTGGCGATCCTGAACCGTGCCAGAGCACCATTCTTGCGACGTGAACCATACGAATCCTCGAATGTGTTTCATTTGTTAAGGCGAACGTGCGCGACGCTAAGGCGAGAGCAACATATTGAAGACCACCCGCCCTGAATTCTTCAAACTGCTGCATTTCAAAATCACTTGGATCATAGATGGCGAGGAAGTCTCAGGCGAAACGCCGGGCCCGCTCTACAGACACGACTGGTATTGCGACAGGAAGAATAATTCCCACCAAAGTGTTTGTAATTAGGGGTTCTTACTTCTGTTCTGAGGACTCGGGCTGGGGTGCCGCTCTGCCGGCTATGTTGCCGCCGTCGCCGCCCCGTTGCCGCCTCTTCGCCGCCCGTCGTCTGGGCCGGTGTGCCGCTCTGCCGGCTATGTTGCCGCCGTCGCCGCCCCGTTGCCTCCTCTTCGCCGCCCGTCGTCTGGGCCGGTGTGCCGCTCTGGCGGTATGTTGCCGCCGTCGCCGCCCCGTCGCCGCCTCGTCGCTGCCCGTCGTCTGGGCCGGTGTGCCGCTCTGGCGGCTTTGTTGCCGCCGTTGCCGCCCCGTCGCCGCCTCGTCGCCACCCGTCGCCTGGGCCTGTCTACCGTGCTGGCGGCTACGTTGCCATCGTTCTCCCCCTCCGTCCGTCGCCGCCCGTCGTCTGGGCCTGTCTTCCTGTCTTGCGGTCTGGCGGCTATGTCGCCGCCATCGCCGCCCTGTCGTCGCTGCACCAAACACGGATAACACCACGTTTTTTTTTTTTTTGTTTTTTTTTTTTTTTTTTTTTTTTTTTTTTTTTTTTTTTTTTTTTTTTTTTTTTTTTTTTTTTTTTAAAAAAAAAAAATTATTTGTTTTTTTTTATATAGAAAATAATAATAATACATATATATATGAACATGTAATACAACAAATGTGTGTGCATATATATATATATATATATCTATCTATATTAAGTATTTGTTACTAGTAATATATGCATATAATGAATAAAACTATGTTCTACCACCTCCCCCCCGGGGTTAAAGACTCACAGTTTCGTATTGCAAATTACGTATGATTCTGCTTCATCGTCCATCCTAACTGTGAACTCATACTATCCCAGCTAGGCTGGTATCGCCCCCCCCGCCATCCTCAGCAACAGGTAATATGCGCGCGCACTCGTTTATCACAAATCACAAGTCTTCAAGAATTCCTTGCCAAAAACGGGACGAAGTGCGCACGCGCGTGTCGTCGCGCGCGAATGCCCATATCGTTTCAAACTCTCGGTGTCGGAAGGGTTTCAAACATGAGTGTCCAAAAAACATACAAAACACACATCGACATTCGAAACACGGATTTACAACAAAAAAGCGTGCGCGCGCAATCTTGCGAATTCTTAAGGAAACCATCGCTTGTTCAGGTCGACATCGTTCTAACGCCCTTGTGCGCGTGCCGTCGCGAGAATCTTCTCCAGCAAATGAGACGAAGTGCGCGCGCGCGCGCGTCGCCGCGCATGCCGAAATCCTTTAAACACCGTTGGTTTCGGAAGGATTTCAAAGTCGAGTGTCCAACACACATACAAAAACACAGGGTTTCGCAAGATGGATTTTCAACAAATGCGTGCGCGCGCGCTCTTGCGACATCCAGAGAAAACCATAGGTTTTTCAACTTGTACATAAAATGCTACCAAACGGACTTCGCGCGCGCGCAGGTCGAAATCGTTCGAACGCCCTTGCGCGCTTGCCGTCGCGAGGATCTTCTCAAACAAATGAGACGAAGTGCGCGCGCGCGTCGTTCCGCGCGCATGCCGAAATCCTTACAAAACCGTTGGTTTCGGAAGGGTGTCAAAATCGAGTGTCCAACAAACATGCAACAATACAGGGCTTCGCAACACGGATTTTCAACAAAAGCTTGCGCGTGCGCTCTTGCGAATTCTTAAGACAACCGCTTGTCATCATTTTAAACAAATGCTACCAACATGGCTTCGCGCGCGCATGGCGGAACCATTCGAACGCCTTTGCGCGAGTGCTGGGGTGGCACGATCCGTGTCAAATCACACCATGCGAGCCACTCTCGCGCGTCTGCCGCGCGCGCATTTCGAATTCCTTCCGAAACCTTCATCACCGACGCGAAGACGCCGTCGTCGTCGTCGGCGTGATCGGCATCGGTGCCGTCACTGGCCGTGCCGTCGTCGCTGTGAGCATCGTCGTCGTGTCATCATCTTCGTGTTTACAAGTGTCGACATTGCCATGATACCGCACCCGCCCTAGTCGCCGGCCGACTCGCACTCAAGAGCCCACTGGGATGTGCCGAGTGGTCAGCACCACCGCGGCCGCGTCGGTCGCGCCAAACTATCTGGCCGCTGCGCGCGCGCATGCGCGGGCTGGCGCGGCCGCAGAGATGCACCAACCAGCGCCACGCACTCATTGCAATCGCCGCTGCATGAGGTTTGCAAACCAAGTTGCGGGTGGGTGGGTGGGATGCTTGCGCGTGCAGTGGAGTGGACAATTCATTGCGGCCAAGAATTAATTGCACCCCACCTCTTGCACCTTATATTCGCATGGCACAAAACATGGCTTGCGCAACAGATAGAGTGCACAAAACATCGGTTTTCAATCCATACATGCATGTATGTATGTGTATATACATGTGTTGCGCCCAGTCGCTGCCATACGCCAAACACAGTCAGCACAACACACAGCTTGCACAGCACATAGAATGCACTATATTCATTGCGCCACATAGATAGCACAAACACATATATTGAACCACGTATGCTGTCCCACATAGATTGCACCCCATACGTTGCATTGCCCCAAGCATAAATTACACAAAACACAGGTTGCGCCACGTAGAATGCACCGCAAATGTTGCATCACGTAGGCTGCGCCATATATATATATATATATATATGTAGCACACCTTCGACTGCACAAAAACATACTTTGCACCAAATAGAGTGGCCACTTCGATTGCATCTCTCATTGTGAAGGCCTGACGGCCGGTGCCGCCGACCCTGAAAGACATCGACGACGACCAGGAGGGGGAGGAGGAGAAAAAGGAGGAGGAGGCGGAGATAAGGAGGAGAAAAAGGAGGAGAAGGAAGAGGAAAAGGTTTGGGACCCCCCCCTTGGGGAGGAGGACCGGCGGAGGACTGGCGTGGGAGAGGGGGGGGGAGGGGGATGACGACCCCCAGGGACGGATGCGTATGTGACTGACTCCCCTCCCCCACTGGGAGTCCTCCCCACCTGGGAAGGAGGACTCGAGGAGGACTGGCGCGCCGGCGAAGGACCGGCGTGGGAGAGGAGGACCCCCAGAGGCGATGCGAGTCTGACCCCCCCGCGGCCCCCCCCTCGCCGGGGAAGGGACACAGGGAAGGGGCTTCAATTTGACGTAATGAGAACGTGGATGGAATCCCTTCAAGCTGCAAGCCCGTTCCCCGAACGAGGAAGGGTGCTTTCTCTCTCTCTCTCTCTCTCTTTCTATCGCTCTCTCTCTCTCTCTCTCTCGTCTCCCCCGACGGGAGATGAGGATGGAAAGGGGGGGGCGACAGACGGCTCCCCGTCGACGGAACCAGACAGACACCCTATACACGCCGACGACGTCGGCGGAGTTTGTGCCACAATTATATATCCACTGCACCACATGCATTTCACAACGTCGATAGCACATCGTAAATTGCTCCACGTAAGGTCCACCGCATCGATTCCACCACATCGACTGCACCAGGGTTCGGGCCCCCCCTCATGCTGATGCCATCGCCCCCCCCTTTGAGCGAACGGGGGCGGGGGTCGCCACGCCGCCAGGAGGCTTCCCCTGGCGCCTCGCGCTGGTGGTGGCGTCGCCCTTGGTTGTGCAGTCAGCGATCAGTCTCGCCGCACGTCGGCGCACCCGCCCGGCGCGACCGGCGCCGTCCCCAGACGTCGGGCGCTGCGACTTTATGGCCCGCGGCCCCGGGCCCCGCAGGGCTCCCGACCGCCCCAGCGGGTTTTTTTTGGGGAGTGGTCTGCCCCCCTGCGGGCCCCTGCCGGGCCCGGGGCAAGCGCCCCCCCCCCCCCCCCGGGAAAGGGTCCGAGGCCTCCTCGGGGCCTCCGCGCAGCGGAAAAGAGCACGGCCTCGGGGCCTCTGCTGCCAGAGGCCCCGAGGCCGTGCGAGGCGAGGGGCGCGAGGGCATTCAGACCTTGCCGCGGGGCGCCCCCGCGGCGAACCTCGGACCCTTCGGGGATGTGGTCATCCCCGCGGAGGGCCCCCATGCCTTGTGTGCTGGGGCCTCTACAATCTCTGGGGCTTCCCCAAGGGTATCCCAGGCCCATTATAGCGGGGCTTTGGTCGGGCGTTCGGCGATGGGGGGGTGGGCCAAGTTGGAGGGAGGTCGAGTGCTGTAGGAAAGGGCGCCTGAATGAGCCTCAAAATGGGATGCCCCCGGGCCTCGAAGGTGCACGAAAGAGATGCACCCTTCTGACCCCACCCCCGTTTCTTGTTCCCCCTCCCCACGGTTCCTTGCCCCCGTGCGTACTCCTTGTGGGGAAGCTGCT